CACACACAGAACTTTATGATGGATGGTAATTGCTTGTTAATAATTTGTTATATTGACGCTTGGAAAATAATCACTACCAGTCTATATTTACATCTCACCTGACGCCTCCTTCCTCCCTAATGCAATCGCCAGGTGTGTGTGTGTCTGTGTGTGTGTGTGTGTGTGTGTGTGTGTGTGTGTGTGTGTGTGTGTGTGTGTGTGTGTGTGTGTGTGTGTGTGTGTGTGTGTGTGTGTGTGTGTGTGTGTGTGTGTGTGTGTGTGTGTGTGTGTGTGTGTGTGTGTGTGTGTGTGTGTGTGTGTGTGTGTGTGTGTGTGTGTGTGTGTGTGTGTGTGTGTGTGTGTGTGTGTGTGTGTGTGTGTGTGTGTGTGTGTGTGTGTGTGTGTGTGTGTGTGTGTGTGTGTGTGTGTGTGTGTGTGTGTGTGTGTGTGTGTGTGTGTGTGTGTGTGTGTGTGTGTGTGTGTGTGTGTGTGTGTGTGTGTATGTGTGTGTGTGTGTGTGTGTGTGTGTGTGTGTGTGTGTGTGTGTGTGTGTGTGTGTGTGTGTGTGTGTGTGTGTGTGTGTGTGTGTGTGTGTGTGTGTGTGTGTGTGTGTGTGTGTGTGTGTGTGTGTGTGTGTGTGTGTGTGTGTGTGTGTGTGTGTGTGTGTGTGTGTGTGTGTGTGTGTGTGTGTGTGTGTGTGTGTCTGTGTGTGTGTGTGTGTGTCTGTGTGTGTGTGTGTGTGTGTGTGTGTCTGTGTGTGTGTTGTTACCTGTGTGGGGTGTTTTTTGGGTGTGGTGGTGGTCAAGCTGGAATACCTTAACACTGTATTTTCTTTTATCTGTCTGTCTATCTGTCTGTCTGTCTGTCTGCCTGTCTCCTGCCTTCCTTCCATTGTTTTCTCTTCCTCCTTACCCTTCCCTCTCTCCCTCCTTCCCACTCTACCACCACTCAGCCAGTAGTTCCCTCCCTCCCCTCTCCACTACCCACTCAACCACTAGCTCCCTCCCTACCTCTCTCTACTCCCCACTCAACCACTAGCTTCCTCCCTACCTCTCTCTACTCCCCACTCAACCACTAGCTCCCTCCCTCCCCTCTCCGCTCCCCACTCAGCCAGTAGTTCCCCCACTCACCGAACTGGCGCTTGGCTCACCTGGCGTTCAACTCAGGTGTCACGAAACTCTAATTCCACTGATGATTTGTGGTCGAGTATTAATAAGTAATGTGGGTTCTCCCGTCCGTCCGTCCGTGTGTGTGTGTGTGTGTGTGTGTGTGTGTGTGTGTGTGTGTGTGGGTTTAAGTCCACGGCGACGAGTTACTGATGCATTATGGGTTGTTTTGGTGGAGGGAGAGAAGGAAAGGAGGGAGGGAGGAAAGGAGAGAAGGGAGGGAGAGAACGAAGGAGGGAGGTAGGGAGAGAGATGAAGGGAATACGAAAAGGGACAGGAGGGAGAGATGGAAGGGGGGATAGAGGGAGGGAAGTAGGAAGGGTCATTTCGCTGCCACGTCATGATGTATGTCTGTACAAGTGTGTCGACTCATAACTCATAACACTGCTCGTAATGGCTCCTAACTGCTACTACCAGACGTGAAACAAACAAACAAACACAAAGATGATGTTTTATATGCCTCATCTAACGCATACATACATACAGTCCGCCACTACAACAAAATTCAGCCCATAAGAGCCCGCGCCGATAGATATAAGAATAGCACCATCCCATCTATTGTTAAAATAATAAACAACTCCTGATTTATGTACTGTACAGCCCTGTAAATGTATTCAATCCATATTATATCATTATGTCGAAATCAAATGTAAGTCTGTATATTTTCACCCACCTGCTGCAACTCTATTAATAAACCGTTTATTATTATTATTATTATTATTATTATTATTATTATTACATACATACATACATACATACATACATACATACATACATACATACATACATACATACATACATACATACATACATACATTTTTGTTCTATCTCGTGAATATGTTAGTCGTGTTGTGAACGTGTTTGGAATTGTATTATGTACGTACGTGTGTTTGTCCTTGATTATCTCCTTAACGTGTTACCCATGACATGTTGTGGACGTGTTTAACCACGAAATATACAATAAGTGACCTTGAATTATCACAAGACGCGTAGCGGACGTGTTATGAACGTGTCGATACCGCCACCATGAACAACGAAAGGAGGGAGAAGAGGGGAGGGTGATGGAGGGGAGGGAGTGTGGAACGGGAAGGAAGAGGATGGAGGAGGGTGCAGCATGTGGAAAGAAGAGGGTGAGGGAAGGGAGGGTGGAGGGTGGGGGGGGGGATGGGTGGGAGGTGTGGAGGAAGACGGAAGGAGGAGAAGAAGAGTGAGGAAGGTGAGGGAGGGTTGAAGGAAAGAGTGAAGGAAGGGCTGAGAGAAGAGTGAGGGAGTGTAGATTTGGTAGGAGGTTAGAGGAAGAGAGAAACAAGGAGGGGAATGAAAGTGAGGAAAGGAGAGAGAGAGAGAGAGGAGGTCAATATTTCACGGGTCAACTCTTTGTTATTTGGGAGTTACTAATACACACACTGAGGAGTTATCGAGACATAAACTTGTACTATTCACCAGACCAGCTTCAGCTATCATAGTGGTGGTTCCTCATAGTCGCCGTCTACTACTGTCATGCACGCGACTAGTAATGTCATGCACGTAACTAGTATGGTATGTGTGTAACTAGTAAAGTAATGCACGCAATTAATAATGGCATGCTCGTAACTAGTATGTCATGCACGCAATTAATAATGGCATGCTCGTAACTAGTATGTCATGCACGCAAAGCCACAACTGTGTTATGATAATCTGTTTCCGATCATACATACACACACACATACACATGCAATCTTGAACGTAGTACACACACACACACACACACACACACACACACACACACACACACACACACACACATCTTATCTTACCCCACTAAGCCCATCCTCCTCCTTCTCTTCCTCCTCCTCCTCTTCTCCCCTCTCCCTTCTTCCCCCCCCTCCCGACCCTCCCTCCACCTCATCCCTATCCACACCAAGAAATAATTTACGATCACCAATTTGTCTCAGCTCAATGTGTTCTGCCAAATGACTTCACCTGTCTGAGTCTCATACCGGCAGAACAGAATGCTTAAGTCACCGGCCGGTCTGCAGGGGCCATCGATAAACATTGTTGACAAGCGTATCGGATGAACGGCCTGTATCCGACTTCCTTACTCCTGCACGCACAGTCCTCCCAAATTACGTATGCTGGTCCGCTTGTTAACACGCAGCTGGGTGAAGTTTGTGTGTGTGTGTGTGTGTGTGTTTAATATACCGGTAGTAATATAAGGCCTTTTATGTCGAACTTTATCTCAAAATATCGCCTTTATATCGTCCATATCGTCTCTGTGTCATTAGTATCGATCAATCGTTAAATTTCTATCATATTAAACATTATATCGCTCAGTGGGTCTTTACATCGTTCCTATAACCTATATATCGTCCACACATTCTCTCTCCCAGATCTAACATTCACGATAAAAAATAAATATGAAAATCGCCGAATAAATTGCATGGTGGTAGAGTGCCTGCCGGGTTTATTTATTTATTTCCGAAGAACAAATATTATTCGTATCCCTAGTGTGACTGTGTTCTCTCTCTCTCTCTCTCTCTCTCTCTCTCTCTCTCTCTCTACAATTTAAGGACACCTTGTCAAAGTTGTATTTGCGTGAGCACAGGGGTGGGGTTTAAGAGTAGGGAGGGGGTGAGGCATGAGGGGTGAGAGGGAAGCTGCCCTAACCCCCGCTACGTGTTCCAAATATGCACTAAGGAGCACGGCCCAGGTGATGGAATGCCCCAGCATGTGAGCGGTGGCCTCCAGGCTCATAATTCCCGTCAACATCGCTCGATAGTGTCAACGAGGAGGCCAGGCTGAGGGGGAGGGGGGGCAAGTGGTTAGGAAGGGGGTAGGAGAGGTAAGGGAGTGGTTAGGGAGGAGGGAGTAGGGGAGTTAGGGAGGGGTGAGGGGATAGGGGTGGCTAGGGAGGGGGTGAGGTGGGGTAGAGGGGTGGTTAGGGAGGGTAGGGGGACGTAGGGGTGGTTAGGGAGGGTAGGGAGACGCGGGGGGTCGTCAGGCAGGGTAGGAGGATGTGGTAATGGAGAGATCAAGAGGGTAGGAATAGGTATGAAAATGGGTCAGGAAGATTGGTCAGCAGGATAGGTTAGCAGGATACAATGGGTAGTTCAGGGAGATTACACGTAAGACATGCATGCAAGAAGCCGTGTATATACAAGCAACTGTGTATTTAAGCTCAAAGATAAACACGCAAACTTCCTGCATACACACCGGCATACAAATGAAATTACACACACACACACACCCACACACATACACACATAAACAGAGATAAACACACACACGCTTATATACACATGAATACCCCCTACACACACACACACACACACACACACACACACACACACACAAATAAATTAACAAGGTAAAAAGGTATTCTCACACCCGCTTCACCACACGCAAGGTCACTTACCTCACACAACACAAGCACAGGTGTGTGCGTGTGTCTGTACAGCGTTTTAAAGGGTCAGGCTTAAGAGGCACAAAGGTGGTGTGATTACTATTTGTCTGTCGAAGTGAGTGTATAGGGAGACGACAGTGTGTGTGTGTGTGTGTGTGTGTGTGTGTGTGTGTGTGTGTGTAGGATCGCTATACTCGATTTCTGGAGTGAGACAGCAAAGTAGTAGTAGTAGTGTACGTGTGTACAGAGCATAGACCTATAACTACATTGGTACTATACACACACAGACATACTATTAACGACCTCTTATACAAATAAATACACTATTTATGTCTCCACACACACACACACACACACACACACACACACACACACACACACACACTCCGGCGTCCACAATTAACTATCATGGAAGTTTATAAATACCATTAATGGATGAATCTTTATAGAATATTCCGGCGACTAGCACACGATTAAGGGGGACACACGCCAAGTACACTACACACACTGAGGACACATACTGAGGACACATACTGAGGACACACACTGAGGACACACACTGAGGACACACACTGAGGACACATACTGAGGACACACACTGAGGACACATACTGAGGACACATACTGAGGACACACACTGAGGACACATACTGAGGACACATACTGAGGACACATACTGAGACACACACTGAGGACACACACTGAGGACACATACTGAGGACACACACTGAGGACACATACTGAGGACACACACTGGAGGACACACACTGAGGACACACAATGAGGACACACACTGAGGACACATACTGAGTGACACATACTGAGTGACACATACTGAGGACACATACTGAGGACACACACTGAGGACACATACTGAGGACACACACTGAGGACACACACTGAGACACACACTGAGGACACATACTGAGACACATACTGAGGACACAACACTGAGGACACATACTGAGGGACACACACTGAGGACACATACTGAGGACACATGCTACACACACACTGAGGACGTGAGTACTGAGGACACACACTGAGGACACATACTGAGGACACACACTGAGGACACATACTGAGGACACACACTGAGGACACACACTGAGGACACATACTGAGGACACATACTGAGGACACATACTGAGGACACATACTGAGGACACGCACTGAGGACACACACTGAGGACACACACTGAGGACACATACTGAGGACACATACTGAGGACACATACTGAGGACACATACTGAGGACACATACTAAGGACACACACTGAGGACACATACTGAGGACACATGCTAAGGACACACACTGAGGACACATACTGAGGGCACATGCTGAGGACACATGCTAAGGACACACACTGAGGAGAACCTACACACTCACGGACTAGCGTATGGGCTAAATCAATAGACTGTAATGATTAAACTGTACGCACTTCTCACGCTATGGGCCTCTACGCACGGACAGACATTATGCGCGGAGGGACTTATGCACAGGCGGACTTAGCCACGGACGGACTCAAGTACGAACCGATTTAGCAAGGATGGAATTAAGCACGGACGAGTTGACGAACGAAAAAACTTATGTACGGACAAACTGACGTAGGGTACGAACTTACGGACAGGCGGACTTACGCACGGACGGACTAATACAGGTGAGGACTTAGCCACGGACGGACCAAGACACGGGCAAATCAGTCACGAACGCATACTTAAGCGCAGAAGAACTTAGGCCACGGACGGACTTACGCGCAGAAGGATTTAAACAAGGACGGATTTACGGACTGTAGGAGTAACACCGAACGGATTTACGCGCGGATGAATATACAAAAATATATTGATGCCACCAGGTCTCAAACCTAATTGGGAAAATATATGCCTGGAATGTATAAAATTAATTATCATTTTTGTAAGTGTATGTGAGTGTGTATGAATCTGTGTGATTATGTATACATGTGTGTGTGTGTGTGTGTGCGTGTGAGTCCATAAATGATTGATGGCATGATCGGGTGTGCATGTGTGTAGCTTTGTCATAGGAAAACATGTTGTGGTGTTTGTGATAGTTGTGTTGTGTATGTTTTTGTTTGTGTTATTTGTTTGTGATGAGTGTGTGTGTGTGTGTGTGTGTGTGCGTGTGTGTGTGTGTGTGTGTGTGTGTGTGACAGACAGATAGACAGACAGAGAGAAATTATGTATATCAGAGTAACTTAATCACTGAAAAAAAAAATTGCATAATATAAAACAGATGACTGACTGAATGTATTAACAATATAACTTGATGAATGAAATGAATAAATGATGTATAATTAATGAAAGAATACATACGAGAATATAATACTGAATCACTATAATGTATCACCTTCTTACTGTGGTTGACTACAATGAGGATATTTTTAACCCTAGCGTGAAATTTCGTCTAATATTTTTTAATTATTATAACCAGACACCGTAACACTGAGGTGGTCTTTGTTATTGAGAGGGGGGTTGTGTGGGGGGGGTGGGGTGGGGGGTGGGGGTGGGGGAGGTGGGGGTGGGGAGGGGATGGTGTGTGGTTACTAGTATTACTCCCACATACACACACCCACACATACACACCCACACACACACACATACACACATACATACCAACCCACACAACTAACAAAGCACACATAGACCACCCCACACTACAAACAAACAAACAAAGACTACCTCCCCACACCACAAACACACGCATATCACCCCCCCCCACACACACACACACACCACAAACACACGTACATAAACAAACAAACCACCACACCTACACCAAACACACACACACATAAACAACAATTACAGAATGTCCTCAGAGGAATTTGGTCAATATCACTAGAACAAGAATTACACTCATCCACCATCACAACACGAACCACTAAAGGCGACAACCTCTATTATCTCGAATTGAATTACACCTCTAATGACAACATGGTAATAAGGGGGAGCTTAATGGAGGAAGGACATAACGGCAAAGAACAAGGAGCCAGACAGACAGACAGACAGACAGAGACTTAAGCTGGATAGTGTCAACAGATACGTAACTATAGATAGATAGATAGATAGATAGATAGATAGACTGTTACAATGACATTACACAGCAGCTCAGTCAACTCACATAGTGATTTTCAGGTATCGTAAAACATCAACGCTGGTATTAAATTACAACACTATTGTATGATTGTAGTATTGTATTACCTTAGTGTTGTAATAAATCGGTACTGTATTTACCTTTAACCTGTATTACGTTGGTTTTATTCTTAATTTATACAATACGTTATAAATTTGTATTCTATTATGCTGGTGTTGTATGAGTATTGTATTGTATAGGTATGATATTGTTATTAAGCTTACAGTGTATAAAACTATCGGTGTATACAAGTGACACTGCATTAAGCTGGAGTTTTATTAAGCTTATATTTTATCAGACAATATCGTAAGAGGTGTAATAATGCATTATGCTGGCGTCTTATGAAGCTGTATTTATAGGTATTAACTTATCCATCTCTTGTATAAATACTTTACTGATTAAGCTGTGTATACTAGGGCTTAGTGTACAAGAGCTTGGAGTACAGGGCATAGTGTACAAGGTCTTAGTGTACAAAGGCTTAAGTGTACAAGTCTTAAGTGTACAAGGGCTAACAGCTTAAGTGTACAAGGAGAAAGCCCAATCCTCCACTTCGGCCGGGAATAGAATTCGTGGCCCGTGACTTGCGGGACAAAAGCTGTGATAACTTAAAAACGAAGCCACACACACACACACACACACACACACACACACACCTGAATGATCTTTACCGATATGCGCCGCTGATGCAGAAAATTGAGTGACAAAATTTCCTCCAAAAGCAGAGATAAAACACCTTACCGATTCGCTTGGTCCTTACCTCTGTTGTGATGCTCTCTCTCTCTCTCTCTCTCTCTGTCTCTCTCTCACCGCCCTAACACTCCTTAGTCATACCCAAAGATAAAACAAACACAAAAAACAATATACCCCCAAAAATAAAAATAAAATAAAAAAACGAAAAAAAACAACGAAATAATATGGAAATGAACATCGATCGGGGAAATATATTAACACGATAGAGATTGAATGGACACACAAGAGGTATATAGACTAAGCGGTCATGGCGTATCTAATAGAGCAAAACCTTCTCCTTCTTCCCTCACTCCTTATCTCTCCTCCCTCCTCCTCTCCCTCCCTCCCTCCTCTCCCTCCTCCTCTCCCTCTCTCCCTCTTTCCTCCTCCCTCTCTCCCTCTCCCTCCTCCCCTCCTCTCTCTCTCCCTCCTCCCTCCTCCCTCCTCCCACAGCCCCGACTCGGTCACTTTAGCCCAGGCAGTCAGGCATCTTCGGTTCTTCTGCCAATGAGCCTTAAACACCGTCATTAAGAAATATATCTCCAGATGGGAATCAACAGTGAAGACGTACTCGACTCCACGTGATAATTGTGAATACGATGATATAGTTTAGCCGGGGTGTACATCAGAGGCAAACACTGCCATTTGTGTCGGGCTGAACCTGTAGTCACCTTTGTGTAGATAAGACGGGTCAAAAAGTGCTGTTTTTTCCCCTCGTACTTGGATGATTAAAATATTTGCTCATGCAGCCGCCGAGGATAAAGAAACAGTTCACGCTGGAGACCCATTATCGCGCGGCTAAACGGGTGAAGAGAGAGAGAGAGAGAGAGGGAAAAGTCCTTTGAATCAGAAATAACTGGTTATATCGTGTAAAGTGGACCATATATTGTGTGTGTGTGTGTGTGTGTGTGTGTGTGTGTGTGTGTGTGTGTGTGTGTGTGTGTGTGTGTGTGTGTGTGTCTTACAAGAAATCTCTCAAATACCTGTGTGTAAATATATTCCTTTTCTGGTTGTGTATACGTTCGGTTAAGTTAGGTTGATGATCACACCGAACCTAACCTGACGTAATCTAAAACAAACACACACACACACACACACACACACACGCACACACACACACACACACAAAATAAACTGAATGCACTCGTGGTTTCATATCAGCTTACCTGTTATTGATTGAGTGTGCAAATGCGCCCTAATCAATGGTGAGGCGAAAGAGTCAAGGTTTTTGTGGCCGCTGCGGTGGTCAGGCGGTCAAACATCACCCACCAGTTAGTGTGTGTATGTGTGTGTGTGTGTGTGTGTGTGTGTGTGTGTGTGTGTGTGTGTGTGTGTGTGTGTGTAGCAGAACAAATGACCCCCACATTCACCACCTTTCACCGACACTCTCAACAACATAAACTTATCCCCGTCGTGAATGAGGGGCTGTAACTCACTGTAATTAAATGCAGGTGTAAGGAGCCATTGAGGGAATACAAACAGTGTCGTCTGTCTCTTTGTCACCCAGGAGGAGAGAGGAGGAGGGGGTTGGTAGGGGGGAGGGGGGAGGGGGGCTGTGATTTGTGTGTTTGTATGTGTGTCAGTATAATTAAGAGTTGTGGTGGTAGCAGTGGTGGTAGTATGGGTAGTGATGATGGTGGTGGAAAATGGTGGTAGTAATGGTGGTGATGGAAGTATCTAGGGTGTTGGACTAACCGAACCACACACACACACACACACACACACACGCTACACACACACACACACACCTTAACCATCTCAATAGCCTTTACATAAGCCAACATCAGATAAGACTATAATACCCCAATAGGGATCAAATTAACCTTCCCCAAACACATCCCATCACCCTTAAAGACACGAGGAAATCAACACTCCACACCAACAGTCACATTACCTCCCATAAACACACGTGAATTAATAGATACCTGGATTTTTTTGGGCCATACCTGTGGAGTTATTTAGTCACGTTAGATTTCGGAGCTGTTTAACTCAGGGAAAAAGTGACAGAATTATGCTGTTACGTATTTCTTTTGTTTTTTTTTGTTTTTTTTTTACTTATAATTCGCCTATAATTTACCTGTTTCTTCTTGAGGTGGGTATTGAGTTATTAAGCTCAACTTGGAGGTAGAGTTATATAGTGTAAATTATACATGTTTAAGTGGGCTTTTTTGAGTGTATAATTTACTGGTTCTTTCTTAAGGATTATTGGATTATTTTACTTTACATGGGTTCAGAATTATAGTGTTGATTATAGGTGGTGTTTGGGAGACTAATTTACTCGTTCTTTGTTAAGGAATGTTCTATTATTCACCTTCAAATTATAGGCCACTAAGGGGGTCTTTTTACCTATAATTTCATAGGTATTTGTTAATGGTTGCTCAATAATCTAACTCAACTAGCAGTTAGAATTATAGTATAAAATATAGACGTTTAAGGTAACTCTATTTTGTCTATAATCTA